TAAATAAGACAGAATTAAAATTTTATTTTGAAAAAATAATCTATTAATATTTATCTGAGGTACAAATCTTTTTGCACCAACCCATATAAATGTTTGAATTTGCTGTCAATTGTGGTATGGATTTATTTGATGGGATAAAGTAATGTTATTTGTTTCAAAATCCCGAAGAACACAACCTGAAAGCCCGACGAACGAAATCCCGAATAAACGGCATCCCGAAAATTCGTGATGCCGTTCTTTCGGATTTCGATCTTTCGGGATTTCGTTTATCGGGATTTCGTACCAATCCCATTTGTTTCTATCTTTGACTTTACCATTACATTTTTTTCTCTTGATATAGTTAAATAAGTTGTTTTTGATTTGTTTTCATTATATCGTAATTAATTAATGTTTCCAAAAATAAACTATCTCGAAAATAGGCTACTCCTCAAGTTTTAAAAATGCTTATAGTGTATCGTTTAATAAAGAATTCCGACATAAATTATCGATATCAGAAAAGACGAGTATAATTTTGATTGATGTTATAATTATAACTCAGGCAAATAGCGAATCGAATCAGCGCAAAAAAGTTATGTAATATGTTATAAGATATGAAAATTCTATTTCGATTTGATTGTTCTTTTTAGGGCAAGCATACCAAATCACTAAAAATTTCATTAAAAAAAGACATATTTAAGGTTAAAGTTACTAAATAATATCTCAATTTTTGCGTTAAGCATTTTTACTTAGTGATAAAAAGACTGGTTATCATATTGGTCTAGTCGCATCCAATAAATATGGCCAATTTTAAAAGAATAGAGCTACAAATTGTACAAACTTTTGTTGAATCGATTCTGACATCGTAGAATCTTTCACTGTAGTAAAATTTGACGGAAAGGTAAAGCTTCATCCCAAATACTTTTTTGATAATGATTTCAATTTTTTTTATCTGTGATCATATGATCCACTCTGATTAGCCTCTGGTACCTGAGTTCAAATTTTCGTCGCGAATGATAACGAGCTGTTGCAGTAGCAAAAGTTATGTCTTTTTGTCATTTCATAAAAAGATGACACACAACAAATTTTCATCTCGCAATTCAATGATGTTAGAGTTGGTCTTCGTTTTTCAATTTCATTCATAATTCATTTTTTTTATATTACAAAAATATTTAACTTTATCACTTAAAAATCATCTTCTAACGATAAAGCTGATTACGTTGACACCCAATATAAGCGAAATATACACTATGTGAAAGTCATGTGTGATATTTTAAGATCCAAGAGTAAAGAAGTGACAAGAATTACAATGTATAAATGATTAATTCTATACTACAAATGCTTGGTGAGCTTATACAAAGATCTAATCTGAGATTACGACGAAAGGATTCGAAACATAAGCAAAAATTTGGCCTGTAGTTTCATTATGAATATGCAAATAAATATTGCATCCTCTATTAGGACCAACATTTGCAGGAATGACAGCGCTAAAACTTTGGTTGTAAAGCGGATAAGAAACATTGCCGGGGTTTGGCGTGAGAAATATAAAGGTACTTGGATCGTGAGCGTTGATTGCAAAAAGAAGAGCGATTAGAAGAGATGAAGGATAAAAATTGGGAGGAGCTATCCAGTTTATCGTGAACTTTTGGCCAGGTTTAAGAACATTGTCGATGCTTGGATTAAATATGGTGACATCACCGCCAGCATTTCCAATCGTGATTGTTCCCGATACAGCACCAAAAGTAGTCCCGGTCGTATCTTGGTATACTATAGCAACAAAATAACCAGGCTTAGAAGTAAGTGAATTAAGCAAGGTATAAGTA